AAATAAACAAATGGGACTAAATCAAACTAAAAACTTCTGCACAGTAAAGAAAACAAAAAGGCAACCTAAAAACTGGGAGAAGATATTTGCAAACCTTATATCTGATAAGCGGTTAATATCCAAAATATATAAAGAACTCATACATCTCAACAACAACAAAAAAAATCTAACAACCCAATTAAAGAATGGGCAAAAGATCTGAACAGACATTTCTCCAAGGAAGATATACAGATGGCCAACATGCACATGACAAGATGTTCAACATCATTAACTATCAGGGAAATGCAAACCAAAACTACAATGAGATATCACCTTACAGCCATCAGAATGGCTCAGAGTCCCTCATGAGGTTTCAGCCAAGCTGTCGGCTGGAGCTTCCATCATCTAAAAGCTGAATTGTACTGGATAATCTGTTTCAAAGGTAGCTCACACATAAGCCAGGACTTATTGTGGCAAGAGGTCTGAGTTCCCTGCCATGTGCCTAGTTGAGTGTCCTCACAAGATGGCAAATGGCTTCCCCTAGAGTGAGTGATCAAAGAGGGAACAAGGTAGAAGCATCTATGTCTCTTAAGACTCATCCACGGAAGTCATGCACTATCACGTCCACAATATCCTAGTGGTTTCACAGGTCAGCACAATTCCCTTTGAAGGATATTACACAGGGTACAAGTGCCAGGAGGAGAGAAACATTGAGGGTGCGTTTGATATCTGGCTACCACAGTCTACAGCTGCAACGTTGCCCTACTGATAGGTATTATGGGAACACAAAGGCTTGGTATCAAGGAGAACCAGCACATGACAGGTACTCAGTAAAGTCAGTACACACCCATTCCCTTTGGTCCTCAACCATGTGATTCCAATGGTTGCCCTTTGCTTAGACCTTAGCCCTCCTTCCTCTGAGCTGACCCACTACCCCACTGCTGCTTCCAATGATTCACAGTAACTTAAAGGTTTATTGCTTTCTCCAGTTTCCCTCAGTTCTCATCTCTCGTCTGGGTCCTATACGTCTTACTCTACCTGAAATGAAGGAGGGATGTTCCAATTATCTATTGCTACGTAACAAACCCCCCGAAAGAGTGGACAATAATGATCTTTTACTTTGCTTATGAGTCTGGAGTTGACTGGGCTCAGCTGGGCTGCTCCTACTTGGTGTCTCTCTTGTGGCTGCAGACAGGCTAGAGATGGGGTCACGCCAGAGGCTGTCTTCACTTGTCTGGGTTAGAAGACTCAAACAGCTGGGGGCTGTAATTCCTGGGTCTCCTTAGACATTTCTATATTGCTAGATAGTTACACAGATTATTAGATAGATAGATAGACAGATGATAGAAAGATATAGATAGATATAGATAGATAGATAGATAGATAGATAGATAGATAGATAATAGTTATAGATAGATGATAAATAGGTAGCTAGATACAGATGTAGATAGATGAATGATAGATAGATATAGATGATGGTAGATATAGATAAATGATACGTAAATAGGTAAATATAGATAGATTGAGAGATTTGGACAGACATGTATAGATAGATGATAGATAAATGTAGAATCATATATACATATGTACAGACATACAGTACTACACTTACAAGGACTTTTTGCATCTTCAAACAAGATTCCAAGTAGAGGAGCATTCTTGTCCTAAAAAATCAAATATAGAAGTTCAGACACCCAACTGAGGGCCTTCCAGTCCCTTGGTTCATCACCCACTCAGCTGAAGTTCTCAGCCAGTCTGTCATAGGAGAGGAAGTGAATCCCTGAATAAACCAACATTGACTCAACAATTTCCTGGTCCTGCCTATCTTTGAGACCTGAAGGGATAAACCTGTCTCATCCTAGCTTTTCATGTATCCTGGACACTGCACAGCCCAGACATGACCAGAGAGACTTGTCAGAACTCTGGGACCAGAAAAGCAATTCTAAGGGAGGGCAGGAGAGGGCCCACATGGATGCAGTAGGAGCGTTTCCCTCAAGCCACTGCAGTGCATCCCCCACAAGGTTACCCATGCTTAGTTGTGATGACAAAGGCACTCCTAGACTGGAGATGTTTATATTGTAGTTAGAGAAATTATTGAACAGCATCAGCTGTGACACCAATGATTTCATAGTTCAACTTCTGTGAGAGATGTATGCAATTATTTTCTAAATTGGTAGATGAAGCTAGAGATGATAATGCTGGAGGGCAAACTTCAAAACTAATATTGGCTTTCTGAGGACTTAGAATAGCAGGTCTATGAAAATAATAGCTGACATTTGTTAAATGCTCACTGTGTGCTCAGTGGTCCGTGTCCTAAATACTTCACACACATCATCTGATTCCATTGTAACTTGAGATAGGTGCTGGCATTATCCTCCTATTTTGTAGAGGGGGATTCTCAAGCACTAAGTACTAAAGTACAAAGGTGTTAAGTAACTTGTTCAAGGTCTCATTTGTGTCTGTAGTGAAGGAAGGTACCAGACCCCTTTCACTAGGCTGTGCACCCACCCCAGTTGCTGGGTGTATTGGCTGTTACTAGCTGACAGCTGCCCCATTCTCTGGGGAATCACCCTTGGCCAAACTAAAGCCACTTTTCCTGAGAGTTTAAGCATTTGCCCAAAGAACTGATTGGTCCAGACTCAGCTCTAGACTGAGCTGGGATTCAAAACTCAGGAGCTCAAGTTCCGAGCCCCCCATCTCTCAATCACTGTGTGCTGCTGCCTCCTAATATTAAAATAATACAAGTAAGACTAAGGTGATGAAGAGGGAGAGGTGGATAAGCTAAAACGTGCCTTTGTGGCTCTTCTCCTGCAAGCAATCACAAACTTACAGAAGAGTCTTAAAAGAACTCTTTTCCTGAACCACCTCAGAGTAAATTGCTGACCCAATACTTCATATGGCCCTGTATTTCCTACAAATGAGGATATCCTCCTACGTACCTCAATATGACCTTCAAAGTCAGGAAGTTAACACTGCTACGTTACTGCCATCTAACCTCACACCCCATTGAATCACCCCAGTTGTCTCAACAATGTCCTTTATAGCAGAAGGACCCACCCCAAGTGTTGTGTTTAGATGTCACCTCTCTTTAGTCTTTGGTCTGGAACACTTCCTCAGTCTTTGGCTTTCACGACTTTGACTATTTTGAAGATTACACACCAATTACAGACCAGGAGTAGAATATTCCTTAGTTTGGGTTTGTCTGACTGTTTCAGGATTTCTTTCAGGTTTGCTTCCTGGGCAGGACAATCACAGTGGTGATGCTGAGTTCTCACTGCATCCCATCAGGTGACACTCAGTCAATTCATCCTGTTCCTGGTGATGTTTTCCCTGATCACTTGATTAAGGGGGTGTCTTCCAGGTTTCCCACTGTGAAGCTACCATTTCCTCTTGTAATTAATGGGAATTTTGAGCAGCAGCACTTTGAAACTGTGTAAATATCTTCATCAAATTGCAATTTATCCATTTATTGGTATATACCTATATGTACATGTTTCCCTGTTTTATATAGTGGGTCATAATCTCTTGTTATCATTCTTTATTTTGATGCTCAAATTGTCTCTGATTTGGTCAGTGGAAGCCCGTCAGGCTGGCTTCTGTGTCCTGTTGACATGTCACCATCACTTTTTAGCATTCTCTTCCTTTTTAGCATAACAAGATGTTTCAGGCTCATCTTGTACTTTCCCAGTCCCAGCCCAGGAATCAGCCATTTCTCTAAGGAGCCTTGGTTCCTTTGAGCAGAAAATAGTATTTATAAGCCAAGATCTGGTCACAGGTGTGCTCATTGTTGTTAGGATGTCATTGTTTCTGAGCTGTAACCGTGGAGAGAAGTAAAGAAGGTGTGTTTTTATATTTACACACACACACACCCCTCTATCTATCTGTTATCTATCAACCATCTCTTACATAGAAAGCATGAATTTACATTGATACTCAGTTCCAATCCCTGACTCCACAGGGTTCATTCTGGTTTTCTCCCTTTCTGAATTGGTAACTACCTTCTCTAACAGTGAGAAACCTGTCTCCTGTCGTCTTTGATATATTTACTTATTTGATCACTCCCCCTTTATGTGGCCAATCCACACTCCATCTCTTTCCACACACAGATGCCCTCCTCACACTACTTGGGTTCTCCACACTCCATTTAGGCTGTGGCTTCTCTCACCAGGCCACCCCTCTGTGTGGACCTACTTCTCACCTTGCTTGGGCTCCCACACTCATGCCAGGCTGCCCCTCCATGTGCACACCTTCCCCACCCTACTTTATCTCTGACTTGGAGCCACTATGACTCCCTTCTCTGCCTCCACCCTCCAACATGTGGCTGCCCACCTTGCTGTGCCCCACCTACTGATTTTAGGACTGAATTTTCCTAGAAGGGAAGGGAGTGAGGAGAAGGAAGGGGAGGGAGGCATCAGAAAAAGAAAAGGAAGAACGTGTACAGCTGCTGATACCAACTGAAAGTGATGAAAACTTGTAGCCTTTCTACCTATCAATTGACATATCAGCCATTGTTTATTTGATCTCCATTGTGATAAGATAGTTGGGAGTTGAGGATGGAGTAGAAAGAGGTATAAGAAAACATGTTTCCCGCCTTCAGAAAAGTCAGGGGAGATAGGATAAAATCCATAAATCAAAATTAATATAATAATATCTCAGTTGAGAGTTATAAAAAATATGTGCTCCAAAAAAGGGAGTATTAAACTATGAATATACTTTCTAAGCAACAGGCAACGTCACAGTAGATTTCTCTCACTTATCTTAAATAACAAATGGGAGTTCTGCAAAAGGTCCCAGTCAACCAGTGACTGTGATGGTCAAAAACATTTAGTCACTGGGTCTCACTGATTCAGCTCTGTAGATTCCCCCTAATGTGCAGAAAGCATAAGATAATGCTTTTGTAAACAGATGTTCATTGACTTGCTCAACATAATACTTTATGGAATATTCTAAATGAACATGTGATATAAATGCCTCTACTACAGTCAGCACAATAATTCTTTTTTTCATTAAAGTTTGTTGATAAAATTGTTGAGAAATTTTATTCTTGATCAGAGCTCAGGGAGAGTAGATGGTACTAACTGGGGGTGGATGGAGATCATTCTGTGAGAACAAGATAAGGTAAGTCCACATATCTGGCACTTACAAGGCCCCTCCTTTATATCACACAACACGTAATACTCTACACAGACACTGAGAAAGTGCAATGAATGTAAGACTGCATAGGCATCCATCAAGGGCAGTAGGTTAAGAAAATCTTTATTCTGGATTTTATTCACCAAGTAAACTGAGGTCCTCGGTGTTCTGGGATACAGCTTCCTTGAACAACAAAATGGAAGTCCTTAGGGAGAGTCAGGCTCCACTCACGGTCCCATCTCTGGACTCAACCTTTAGAACAATGGGTTTCTGTGGTTGAATAAGTCCTTGAGTGCCTAATTTCAGGGGGATCTGCAACAGTTAAGCAAGCATATGAGAACCAACTAATGAAGCTCTGCCAACAACAGAAGCAAAGTAGACAAGATACATTAAGGACAATAATGCTTTACAAACATATAAACTACTTTCAGCATCATATAACTTTTATTTATATTTTGTAAGCTATGTCAGACTGGATGGTGAAAACTTTCATTCATCCATCCATTCAACAAATTATCTATGGAACACCTATTCTGGATGAGGCCAGACACAAAGTGATGTTGGCTTATATTACTTTTTGATTTAAATTTTAAGTAAAAAAGATGAATTTTTAAAATTTAAACCAAATTCTTAGGGATCATGGCAAACTATTTTGAAAAGCCATATAGAGTTAATTTTGGATATGTTGAAACTTGCAAGGTAACCCGGAGTGTGTATTATACATTTTATTTATTTATTTTTTCCAGGACATTAAGCTTTTATTGACTTTTAGGTGTGAATTAGTAAGTTATGACAGCTTTAAACCATTATCTTTCTTCTGGGCTCATCCTCATTGTTGATCTGCTTTTGGTTTTCCTTTTTCTTTTTCTTTTTCTTTTTTTTTAATTTTTTGTTTATTGCAGTAACGTAGGTTTATAACATTGTATAAATTTCAGTTGTACATCATTATACTTCTATTTCTGCATAGATTACATCACGTTCACCACCCAAATACTAATTACAACCCATCACCACACACATGTGCCGAATTATCCCTTTCTCCCTCCTCCCTCCCCCCTTCCCCTCTGGTAACCACCAATCCAATCTCTGTCCTTATGTGTTTGTTTATTGTTGTTATTATTTACTACTTAATGAAGGAAATCATATGGTATTTGACCTTCTCCCTCTGACTTATTTCACTTTGCATAATACCCTCAATGTCCATCCATGTTGTCACAAATGGCTGGATTTCATCGTTTCTTATGGCTGAGTAGTATTCCAATATACATTTTAATTTTGTGAGACATCTTCAACTTCTAAAGAGTCTAGTCACATCTTCCAGTGGAACACATCCAGTTTCATGACGGGGAGAGGTCTTTGTGAAGCATTACGCCTCTTTTCTAACATCTTTTGGCTCCCACATGTAGTGCAAATGGTGAAATTCTGGAGTTCTATGGTGTTTCGACTGATAGTTTTAGCTCCATTCTCATATAGTCACTCCTTAGTGTTAGGGGATCCAGTAGCAGAGTAATCTTGTGACCTCAGTTGACTGAAGGGCAAGAAAATTGTCACAGAGGGTGAGAAGTGCCAGTCTGTGGATGACTTGGGGCTCGCAGGGAGGGTCTGCCCATTCCAGGTGTACCAGAGGCCATTTTCTCTCAGGGCTGAGTCCTCTGTTTGTACACCTACAGGACTGCCACACAGATTCCCTAAAGCCAAAAATAAGATGGAAATCATCTCCATCCCCCTTTCTCCTGCAGAAAGCCTACTTAAGGAGAGGAGTTGCATATTAAATGTACAAGTCCCAGAAATAAGTCTTATTATAGGACCTTGCTTGATATGAATCAATGGCTACTGTTCTTTGCATATTCAGAGGAGAGATTCCAGACCTTACTATAAAGATAAAAACCTTGTTATTTTCTAATTTCAAATGGTATACATATACTCCCCCTGCAGACAGACACACACACACAACATGCACATACACAAATCTCATTTGTTAAATTTTAACCATTAAAATTGTTCAAAATTTGTATCCAAGAGCTCTAAATAAACTGCAAATCACTCTTTAAGCATTTCCTGGATGACTACAAGGCATCATTGGGAGTTTATGAAAGGAATAAATGAGGTGCTAGAGTTAAAGACATTCTTAGGCACAAAGAAAACATAGAGAACTAAACTGGATGGTTTAATGACAAAATATTAAGATACATGGTCTGATCAATGATACCAGCCTGCAGTGACTGATAGAGCAGAGGAGAGAATGGTCTCTGGACTAGATGTGCGCCAAGGAGGGGCTTGGGGATTGAATGAAGACTTGAAGGATGAGAAGAGACATGGAGGATAGTGAGAAAAACATCCATAGAGTTATTATGAGGACGTACAAAGAGCCCAGCTTGACTGGAGCTGGGATCCTAGAAGGTGAGGTCAAATAGCCAGAATGGCCCTGGACTGTGGGAGACCTTCACATCTGGCAGAAATGCTTTCAGTCTGTGATTCTCAACCTTGGCTGCACATGAAAATCAATGGGGTGCTTTGAAAACCATATCTGGGGAAATTATTTTAGAATTTCTGAGAGGACTTAGACATGAAGATTTTTTAAAGTTCCCCATTGATTTCATTATACAGACAGTGGATGAGAACCACTATCATAAATCTTCAATAAGTTTTGGTAAAGAAGAGCATCCTTCAAAAGTTACAATGTGTTGTCACAAATGGCTGGATTTCATCGTTTCTTATGGCTGAGTAGTATTCCATTGTGTACATATACCACAGCTTCTTTATCCATTCATCCCTTGATGGGCACTTAGGTTGCTTCCAAGTCTTGGCTATTGTGAATAACGCTGCAATGAACACAGGGGTGCATGTACCTTTACAAATTGGTATTTTTAAGTTCTTTGGATAAATACCCAACAGTGGAATAGCTGGATCATATGGTAGTTCTAACCTTGATTTTTTGAGGAATCTACAATGTTGTAAACCAATGTTACTGCAATAAACAAAAAATTTTAAAAAAAGTTACAATGTGGTAATTATTACATTTCATGGCTGTTAGAACACTGTCCCTTCCTTCCAGTGGAGTGGAATTTAAAACTTTGTTCAAGTTCAAAGGACTGCACATAATCATGTCACACAAACTGAATTGACTCTAAATGACCTTTATAGTTGAGTCTTTATAAAGCCACAGACTTAGCAGTCCAGAGCTGAAAGGCCCTAAATGCCGCAGATGGCTTCAGATAGATTCTCTGGCCAATAGAACAATTATTATTTGAATAGAACACATTTTTATAAATATATAAACCCTTCAATTACATAAAACTACAAATAAAATATTATTTATGCAGAAAATTCACTGACTGACCTGTGTTTCTTTACAAGGTCTGAAGGAGAAGTTCTGCAGCATTTTGACGACAGCAAGTTTCATGTTCATGATAGCGAACCTCAAGCCAATGCAGTTTCGGGGTCCAGTTCCAAAGGGCAGGTATATATAAGGATTTATATTGTCCTTATTCTTCTTACTGAACCTGGATCCACAATAGCAGATGAGAACAAGTTAATGAAACATAAAAACCATAAGAGTTACAAGTTTTGGGTTCTCACTTAGACTCCTCAACCAGTAGTACACAGGATACTTTTGTGGGCTAGTCATTGACATCCTGCTATGAGTATTTTGCTGTGAGAATGGTAAGCGACTGATCCTTTCCATTCCCCTTACCCTCTAGGAGATTTCAATCTTGTTGTGTTGAGGAGATAAGATGAATGCTGTTTAAAACAAAATTTATCTTTAAACATGAAAACTACATTCAGGGTGATGAGGTGTTCACAAAAAGAAATGAGAGTGATTGAAGGAAAAGTAGATCCCTGCCTCCACTCTCTTATGTTGGTCATGTGCTCATGGAGGAAGGAAGCACGAGAAATGCCTCCCATTATTTAAATTGTTATTTTCCCTTCTCTTCCCTTCTTCTCCCAGCCTTCTGTCTCTCGCCCATAGAATAGCTTACATCAGATGATTTACTTGGGCATATAATGCTACTCCACTATAGTATAATCACTGACTTTCTTCTCTATCTGTCCCACCAGCTATAAATTCCTTGAATGTTAGACCTATGTTTTATACAATTTGATTCCTCAATACATAATTACATTAAGAAAAATTATGGATTTCAGGAAAGTGATAATGGCATTGTGGCATGTACTTTCCAAATAGTCCTTATAGTTTAGAGAACATTCTGAAATAGTTATACATGATGCGATATAATAACACAGGATTCAGGAGAAGGGTAGCAGTGGTGTGTGCTTGGGGCAGCTGACATGGGCTGATGGTTGTTGGGCAGGTGATGGACACATATAGAGGTAGGAAAACTTATATGCTGTGTGTATGTCAAATACACATATAGTAGTATACATGTCAAAAATTCTTCTTAATAGCATTTTTTTTAACATTTGGATTTCTAACTGCATGGTCCAGTCCCTGACACACCTTAAGCACTAACTCTCTGTTTGATGACCGAATTAATCAAAAAAATGTAGAGTGACTGGTCTCTAATTTTATGTTCATGAAGTTACAGGAGGGGATACTGGGGAGTTGGGAGGAACAACAGAATTCCTCTGGTCCAGAAACAAAGGACTTGGTCAACTCTAACCTCTTTTTTCAACAAGCACTATGTGTAGATGCTATGCCAGCACTAGGGACACCATGGCCAAAAAGACAAGGTCCCTGCCATCAGGGAGCTTATACTCAAGGGCTAATAAAAGTCTAGATCTCAGCTAGTGCCCTAAAAAGTTCATTCCAAATTTTGCTCACCAATATAATAAATGTGAAAGCATCAACTCTTTCCAGAGTTCAAGCTGTGCCCAAAGTCAGACCTCAGCTCAGTTCCCAGAAGAATATGCTGAAGACCCCTCCAAGGAGGATGTCTCAGAGTCTAGACAGCAGAGGAATTCCCTTTGGAAGGGTTGCCCAATACTGAGAGTGGAAGGGAGCTGGCATGGGGCTGCAGCCACAGACAGCACGGGGGACCTGTGCCCAAGCTTGTCCTCAATGAGGCTGCTTAAACCATCAGGATGACGACCTCTCAGAGTAACGCTAGATGGCACAGCAGCAATGTTTGAAAAAACGGAATGTGGGAATGTTGGTGATAATTTAAAGATCTGAAGAGAACAGCAGAGAAAAACGTGAAGGAAAAAATAAGCCTATATTCCTAACATAAAACAGTGGTTTCATAAATGTATGGCAAAATACAATTACACAGACAAACACACACAAAATATATACACATATATACACACACACATATATGGTAACATTAGATATTGTTTATATTTTCCTGTTAAAGTAAGTAGTTCAAAACCAAATAAAATATAATACCCTTCTAATTTTTAAAAATTTATATATGCATAGAAAAATGTCCATAAGGACATACATCACATTATTAATGAGGCCTATCTTAAGGTATTGGCAATATGGAGAGCTATAATTTTCTTTTTCCTAGTCTACAGTTAGTAAAATTTTGACAACAAACATTGATCACTCTTATAATAAGAAACACAAGCTTCTAAAAATAAAACGATGTACAAATAAATGATTATACAATCACACATTTGTCATCTATACTAAAAGATGTCAGAATATGCTCAAAGCTGCCATGATCAGGGTGGGTCCCCTTTCCCAGCGGCCCTGTACCTTTCAGGATGGAACTCCTCAGGATCTGGCCAGAACTCTGAGGCTCGGTGAAGAATAAATGTTGGCACCATCACTACTGTGCCTTTAGGAATGAACACTCCATTGATTTCCACATCGTTCTTACAAACCCTCTCAAGTCTACCAGCAATTGGGAATAATCTGAGAGATTCATTCAACAGCATGTCAAGATACTCCATCTGTAACAGGGTATCATATGTGGGTGGGGCCTGGGAACAAAGAAACAGATTTTGATAAATTGAGATTTGGGATCAATTTTCTATCCAGTCTCTGCAGGACTATTGAAATGTTAGGAGTACAACAGAATAATTCATATTGATAAAGCATTTATACAGATTAATATTTATAGAGATTTTAATACATATCATGCCCTTTGACCTGCTCAGTCATCCATTGAAATATGTGGAGTAGCTATGACTACGGGATTTAGTTGGGACAATCCCCTAAACAGGGCCTGAAATCGCTCACGTTACCATGTAGTGGTTTTTCTTTCACATGTGAACAAATGTGACTAACAGACTGTGACCTTACTCTTAAGTGAAATATGCCCAAGTCATTGCTTCATTTCCAAGAAGAGGCCACATATCTGTACCAAGGAAAGAGAACGTGTAAAAGAGCAAACCCCCTATTCGACATAGAATATTTTAGTTGAAAAATCCTTCTTGCTAACTCTTATTTGGAAAGTTGATTAGTAGAGTCTCTCAAATTTTGTATTATATAAAATCTCTATAAATAATTTGGGCAGAAACTAATTCTTTTCTAAATCTAATATGACAAAAGAAGGGTAAGATTGGATGCTACCAAAGCACCAAATTTTGGTTCTAGGGAAAGTTATAAAAATGATCAGAACCCCACTCTCAGCCCCATCCTCTGTTGCTGGAAGTCTCCTAGTGGCTGCTTCAGGATTGGACTGTAATCTCTGAAGATCTAAACAAGCCACTTGAGCCACAGAGGCTGGGTCTCTTCTCATCACAAAGAAATCCAGTTTGGGGAGAGATCTGAAAACTGTGTTGACAATATGTGGCTATGACCTGGTGTAATATTGAAGAGGCAGTATTGCAGAGGTTAAGAGTTTGGCTCAGGAGCCAAACACCCTAGATCATAGCTTGGCTTCTTCACCACTACTTATATGACTAAGGTATGAAAGTTATTTCATCTCACTGTAGCTCTGTTTTCTTATATGTTCCATGGAGATAATTAGAGTTGACGCTTCATAAGGTTGGGTGGCAGAGACATTCACTGATCACTCAACATGCATGTAGTCTCACACATTTCCCAGCCCATTGAACTTAGGGGAAATCGGCTTTGGCGATGGTCTGTGAGCTGAAGTGATGCATGTCAGTTCAGGGACAAATCATTTGAAAACCCAGTGAACAACACTCTAGTTCTTTTTTCCCCAGCCCACAGAAAGGCCTCATGTTCCAGACAATCAGCTACAGGAAGATGGAGCCTCATAGCCTGTATCCCTAGTAACTATGTAGAGCAGAGACTCCTACTCCCATCCTCCACTAACATCCATGTTGGACATGAAAATGTCAGTTAGAAGTAATCTTTTGCTTTGTAATGCCACTGATATTGAGGGCTACTCTGTTACTGAGGCATAACCTAGCCTATCCTGACCAATACATAATTTTATGAGGATTACATTCACTTATAAATAGAAAGCATTTAGGATAGACATATGTAGTAAGAAGCAAATGTAAGCTATTTATGTTGTTATCGACCTTGGGATTATTATTATTAAAAAAGAGAGAACAAAATTCTTTCACCAATCTCTGTCTCTAAGTGACTTTTTCATCATATTTCAAACAAAAGAATCCCGATATGGGCTTTAGCAGAGAAAAGAGATAATCTCTAATAGAGGTGGGCCCTAAAATGTCTCCTTACTCTATGTCTGAAGGACCTATGATACAGAAAGGTCATAAGATTTGTCCAAAACGACAGTCAGCACTCAAAGTCATGTCTTCCATTTCCAACCCTAAGCTCTTTCCTGTACATCAGGCTTCTCCTGTCTACAAAGTTACCCAGGTTAGTAGATTGCACTAATGGCCCCATTTCTCCACTCCTTCCTGTGTCCATGCCCTTTGCCATCTAACTTTGTGGTGCTCTCCCATTCTGTCACTGGGGTTGGTCATGTGGCTTGCTTTGAACCAATGGAATGTTGGCCAACTGTGATGTAAGCACAGTTTTGAAAGGCACCCATGTGATTGGGCTTCTTGTTCTTGTCCTCTGCCATAGCCTTACAAAGAGGACAACCAGGCTAGTTTTCTGGACTATGAGAGACATGTGGATCATGTGCGGAGTTGAGTCAGCCCAGTCAGCTTAGCCAAGGCCAGCCTAGGTCATCCTACAGCCAGACCAAAGCGAGTCCAGCCAATATCAACAGAGATAACTACCCATACACTTGAGAAGTAAATGCTTATTGCTAGATCCCACTGAGGTTTTGTGATTTTTACTTGGCATGATTGTGGTTACAGAAAACTGATATGCCAGGACCAGAACTTTTTTCACAGATATTTTATTTATGTGAGTTGCAAGAATTCTCCTAGAAAGTCATGAGGAGACATTCTTGCTAAGCCTTCACCTTCTCCCTCTCTCTCCAGTTATTATCCACTCACCTTATTGGGGAAAGTAGCATCAATCTCCTCCTGCAACTTCTGTTGGACATCAGGGTGAGTAGCCAAGAGATACATAAGGAAGGAAAGAGAAGTGCTTGTGGTCTCGTAGCCAGCAAAAATAAAGATAATAGATTGGGCCACCAGCTCCAGATCAGACAGAGCTAAAAGGAGAGGGAAGACATTTTAGGTAAAGCAGGTCAATGTAACACAATACAGTTTAGAGGATTAAAATCGAAATGAGTCTCAACACCCTAGGGAAAAAGAATAGAAAATCATTTCAGAGTCAAACAGAGAGTGGTTTCACTCTGATGCCTATCTGACAGAGTCAGAAAAAGGCAAAAATTGTCTTGATTCAGTTTTTCCCAAGGTCTGTACTATTCTTGAAATCTACTCCTGGTTATGCCACCATCCTCACCAACACAACTGGGTTATTTAAGAGATAGCATTTCTGTCTAACATAGACAGTGTTATCAGTATGTCCTTTGGAGAATCCTAAAAATACTTAGCTACAGGTATTATGGGGTATCATTCTCCCTCAGGAAAAAATAAAATTATTCTAGCTAAAACACAGCTTGAATTTTTTTAGGAAAGTGTGCAATATTAATTCTTAAAGGTGGAGAAAATTAAAGGATCTTTCCTCTAAACATGTTTGAGAAACCTAAGAGAATAATATTCCACTGCAGATAAACTCTTCCCACTCAAAATGTAGTCCAGGGACTAGCGGCATCGGCAGCATTTTAGAGCTTATTAGAAATGCAGAACTATTGAATCAAAATCTGAACTCTCATGAGATCTGGTGGGGTTTGCGTACACAAGCTAGCATGAGAAGCATGGATAGTACCTTGAGAGGCATCAGATAATGGAAGACCTGGGGCACAAGTCTTCAAATGGAAGATCTCAGATATGTACAGAAACTACAGAGACACACAAAATGCTAGAAGAGTGGTGATTGACCCTAGTCTAATCAATGGCATTAAAATAGCAGAAGACAGAATGTGTCAATAGAGCTCATTGAAAAAAAAAAAAAAATATATATATATATATGGTGCAGTGAGAGTAACAGCAACGCTCATTCAATCATGGCCTTAATGTCTTCTTCCTCAGCACATACCATTTCTCTCTGCTCTACTTTATGCTCAGCAAACTGCCATTGGGATTATAAGTTGGCATCCTTTTTGATTTTCTCCTGAAAGATGCTAAGCACAGTCAGGCTCTAATTTGACTGGGACTAGATTAGGACCTTTAGATACTTAGGGGAGTAAAATAAACATACCTGCCCCAATCATGCAATTCACAACTAAAAACAATAAAAAAATGATTGTAAGAAAAGTCTATAGAGTTCTGATTTCCCAATGATGACTTCTGTGATTCTGTTGTGGGTAAAGTCAACTACCAAATTCTTTCCCCCCATTAGCATGAACCTCATGATACTCAAAGTTTAGAGCTGTGCTGTCCAATATGGTAGCTACATGTGGTTATTTAAATTTTAACTAATTAAATTTTAATACAATTTAAGTTTCAGTTCTTCAGTGGCAGTGTCCACATGTCAAGTGTTCAATAGCCACATGTGCCTAGTGGTTACTATATTGAACAGTGCAGATATAGGGTATTTACTTCATCACCGAAAGTTGCATTGGACTAGATAGATAGATAGATAGATAGATAGATAGATAGATAGATAGATAGATAGTAGATGTAGACATAGATATAGATATATTTATACTAGTGTGCTGGACTCAGATCATCCCTGCTGTCTAAGACCAATTGTTGAATATTCAGGAATTCTGTGAGATGGTTGTCAAACCATTGGTAGCTTGAAATTAAACATACGGGAGCATTCATTACATGGAAATAAACTATAAATCAGAGACTTTTTTGAGAAATAGAGATACAGAGCATGTTTACATCACTGGTTATGGGTAGATATAGAAATATTTATGTTTGTCAGTTCTGTGTAAATATATTTGATGTTCTTAGCTTTGTCCACTAAGAAGTTCTAGAAGCAAAGACACCCTTAGTAACAATGAGCTGCTACAAGTGATTAGCAATGACAAAACAGATTTTGGTTTCTCAGTACCATTTCTCACCAAAAGGAACCAGAATTCCTTGTAGAAATGGTTGATTCCAGGGCTGGACAGGGGAAATAGAAGGGAAACCTGGAATGTCTTGCATCAGAAAGCAAGGAAGTGCTCAGAAAATGATAGCTTAAAAGGATACGGGATACTCGGTAGACTATAACGGTGGATATATGTCATTACACATTTGTCAAAACGCATCGAATGTATGCCACCAGTGGAATCCTAATGTAGACTATGGACTTTGAGTGTCATTGAGGGTTCATTGATTCTTACAAATATATCAGTCTGGTGAGGGATTTTGAGAGTCGCAGAAGCTGTGTGTACTGGGCCAGGAGGTATATGGGATATCTCTGTACCTTCAGCTCAATTTTGTCCGTGAATCTAAAGTTGCACTAAAAAACAAAGTCTGCTAAAACAATAAAATTTAAAAAATGAAGAAGAAAAAATAGGACACTGGAGTCCACTTTAAAGAGCTTCCAGTGGACAAATCTAAGAGAATTTGAGCATCAAAATAAAGAATTATGCAAGCAAGTGAATTAGTTATATATAAGATCATATTGATACAAATATATAAACAAATAAATAAATTGGTGAGAATGGAAAGTTCTCCCTTACGAAGGAACATCAACTTATAAACGAAGAAGACGATGGAATCAGAAAGCCATCCTTTTGCAATCATCATAGTAATAATGATTTCAGTCAAATCTATCCGTGGATGATACAACTTGCAGGTGAACTCTTAAAAGGAACAGAATGTTTACACAGTCTCAAAGGCTTCCCCCACTAGTTACTTACTATTTACACAGGGGGAAATAAAACTTCACAGTAGATTAACCTAGTGAACACAACATTACCAAGTGTTCAAGGTAAGGTCACCAACACTGGGGCAATGTGCCTGCTGATGTGGTGAAGGCTTGATGCAAATTTTCAGGCAGAGGTTCTGATTCAGTGGGTCTGGATGAGGTCTAAAAATTGACATGGAAAGAAGCTCCCCAGAGGTTCTGATGTAGGCGATCCACAGACCACTGACTGACTTCTAGGCACTCTCAAATAACTTGTCTATGGTTGCCCTTCAAGCTTTGAAGAAAGTTGTGTCTGCATGCTTCTAGAAAGTTCCTCTGGCTACCATTTATATCTGAGCATGTGTCTTTCTTCAACTTGGCAGAAATTCTCTTCTGTCTGTAAAAGTTCCTTCATGTTTTAGAACCCCTCCCTCCCCCTGAGCCTCCCCACTGTGGCTTTCTGACACAGTCCTTGGTTACCTTTATGGGTGTCCATTTCTTTGGAATTCTGGGAGTTAATCATCAGCTGAAGAAAATCCACTCGGTTCTGGAAGCAGAAAGACAAATTTCAACGACAGACAGTCATTTGTGAAGTCAGAAATAAGTCAGCAGTGCAGTGCTTAGCCTCTTTCCTGAGAATATGGCCCCTTTAAGTCCAGAAGTCTGACTAATGTTTCCTGAGTCATCAGTGAACAAAATCATCCAGCTACAAATCTTGGAGAGCAGGATGTTCCCCTGAAAGAAATCCAGCCATCGTGTCCAGCTGCTTTTTGGCATTCATTATCTCTGATCTTTGCCTTCTCTGGCTTTTGAATACAGCTTCCAGGCCAAAGAGTTGACTGTTCCATTTCCTGTCATGTCTGCTTGCTCAAGAGGAAGTCTCTGGAGTTCAATCATTTTTCTCCCCAGCCTTAATTCTTAATGAATGGCCACATAGATCAATTCCCTGACTTTTACAGAGATCATCAACAGCTTTTCTAAGAGTATCTTCAAGTGCCCCACACTCCCAGAACTCTACACATCCTGGGGAACTCAGCCCTGCCTCCTTGACCTGTAGACGTCCTTGTGCTATTCTCCAGGCCTCATGCAAGGCAAAGCTGACTAAGCTTTAAAAACTGACACAGAAGTGCACAAATCATATGTATACAGTTCACTAAATTATCACGAAGTGAACACCCTCATGCAACCACAACCAGATTTTACCTTTTGTTTATCTTTGAGGCGACTTTCTTTCATCCTTTTTACAGATTTTGTGAAAAAATCAGTAACACTTTTTGGAAAGAGAAAGATATTTAATACTTCAAAAACTGGGCTAAGAAATGGAAAGAGTGCTGTGGGGCAAAAAAAAGAAAGCACAATGAAAATGCAAAGTTTACCTGGAGAAATTATAATTTCCTTTACCAATCAGAAGAGTAAAAGACACCAGGGTTCTCAACCAGGAGCCATTCCCTCTATCACCTTTGCTTGGACATAGAAGCCACTGGATGAGCAAGGGTAAGTCTGCACATAGAAACCATCACTATAGCAGTGACATCAGTGGCCCCATCCACATCTTTGGAGTGACCAAAGGAACAGGATTGCATTCCTTCGCCTCTCAGCCTTTTATCTATTGGACTAGAGTTTCTTTGGATAAACCAAACCATAGCTGGCTACTTTAAGTAATCATGCAGTTCAAGAAAACGGACTCAAGAGACAAATAATACATGATGTCTTTCAACTGCAATGAAATGAAGTTAGACATCAATAACAGAAAGAAAATTGGGAAACTCACAAATATGTGAAAATTAAACAATACACTACTAAGTAACAAATGGGTCAAAGAAGAAATCAAAAAGGCAATTAGAAATTACTTTGAGATAAATAAAAATGAAGACACTATATACCAAAACTTATGTGATGTAACAAATGCAATGCTCAGAGAGATCTTTATGGCTATATGGCTATGGCTATTTATGGCTATAAATTTCTACATTTAAAAAAAACAAGGGTCTCAAATCAATAATCTAACTTTCCACTTTAACACACTGAAAAAAGAAGAGCATATGAAACCTAAAGCAAGCAGAAGAAAGGAAATAGTAAAGATAAGAGCAGAAACTAATGAAACAGAGAATATGATTTCACTCATATGTGGAAGATAAACTAACACAAGGACAGAGAGAATAGTTTAGTGGTTATCAGGACGAAGGGGGTTGAGGGGTGGACACAAGTGGTGAAGGGGCACATCTATATGGTGACTGACAAATAATAATGTACAACTGAAATTTCACAATGTTATAAATTATTTTTTTTATTTTTTGTTTATTGAAGTAACATTGGTTTATAACATTGTAAAAATTTCAGGTGTACATCATTATACTTCTATTTCTGCATAGATTACATCATGTTCACCACCACAATACTAATTACAACCCATCACCACACACATGTACCGAATTATCCCTTTCACCCTCCTCCCTCCCCCCTTCCCCTCTGTTATGACCTCAATAAAAAAATAATTTTTTTTCCAAAAAAATAGCAAAAGTCAGTCAAACCCAAAGCTGATTCTATGAAAAAACTTTTAACTAGATTGACCAAGCAAAAAGAAAAGAAGATTCAACTCACCAGCATCAGAAATGAACTACAGGATATTACTACTGACATTAAAAAAACAAAAAGAACTATAAAGGAATACTATGAACAATTGTACATGAACAAATTAGATAACTTAAATGAAATGGACAATGTCCTAGAAAGACACAAACCATAGGAACCGATTAAAAAATCTGTGGTGGTTACCAGAGGGGAATAGGGCAGGGGGAGGGTGAAAAGGGTAATGGGGCACATGTTTATGGTGACGGACGGCAACTAAACTTTTGGTGGTGAACACAATGCAGTCTATACAGAAGTCAAAGTATAAGAATGTACACCTGAGGGCCAGCCTGGTGGTGCAGTGGTTAAGTGCGCGCGCTCTGCTGTGGCGGCCCAGGGTTCGCAGGTTCTGATCCCTGGCGTTCAGTGACACACCGTTTGTCAAGCTGTGCTGTGGCAGTGTCCCATATAAAGTAGAGGAAGATGGGCACAGATGTTAGCCCAAGACCAATCTTCCTCAGCAAAAAAGAGGAAGATTAGCATCAGATGTTAGCTCAGGGCTGATCTTCCTCACACACACACACAAAATATACACCTGAAATTTATATAATATAATTTATAGAATGTGACCTCAGTTTAAAGAAAAAGAAATAGACAATCTAAATAGACCTATAATAAGTAAAAAGTTTGATTTATTAATAGAGAACCTACCCACAAAGAAAACCTCAGGTCTAGAAGGTTTCAATGGCAAATTCTACCAATTATTTAAAAAATAATTAACATCAATTTTTCACAAACTCTTCTAAAAAATAGAAGAGGAGGGAATATTTCCAAATTCATTCTACAAGGCCAGTATTACCCTGATAGTAAAACCAGACAAAGACATCACAGGAAAAGAAAACTAAGATCAACATATCTTATGAACACGGATGCACAAATCCTCAACAAAATACTGGCAAACTGAATCAGTAACATATGAAAAGAAGCATATTCCATAGCCAAGTGGGGTTTATCCCAGGAATGCAAGGTTGTGTAATACACAATATAAATAGAATAAAATCCAAAAACCACATGATCATCTCATTAGATGCAGAAAAAGCATTTCACAAAATCCAACACCCTTTGGTGTTAAAAACACTTAACCAACTAGGAACAGAAGAGAATTTCCTCAATCTGATAAAGGGCATATATGAAAAAAACATAGTTAACACCATACTTAATAGTGAAAGACTGGATGTTCTCCTCTAAGATTAAGAGCAGGAGAAGGATGCCTGTCTCACTACTTCTACTCAGCATTGTACTATGTGTCTAGCCAGGGGAAGTAGGCAAGAAAAAGAAATTAAAGGGATCCTTATAGGAAACAAAGAAGAACATGCTGCAGTCCACACAAAACTGAAATATAATAATGTACACCTGAAAATTACACAATGTTATAAGCCAATATGACCTCAATAAAATAATTTGAAAAAAAGTAAACCTATCTTTATTATCAGATAACATGATCTTGTATGTAGAAAATCATAGGGAATCTACCAAAAACCTATTAGAACTAATAAACTAGTTCAGCAGCATCAGGATATGATTTCAATATACAAAATCAATTTTATTTCTATACACTGCAAAAAAGCATCCAAAAGGGAAATTAAAACAATAACTCCATTTACATTAACATCAAAAAGAACAGAATACTTAGAAATAAATTTAACAAATAAGTGCAAAATTTTTACTCTGAATGGATCCAGCTGGTGGCATAGCAGTTAAGTTCATGTGCTCTGTTTGGCAGCCCGGGGTTCATGGGTTCAGATTCTGGGCGCAGACCGACATATTGTTTGTCAAACCATGCTGCGGCAGCATCCCATATAAAGTAAAGGAAGATGGGCACAGATGTTAGCCCAGGGCCAATCTTCCTCAGCAAAAAAGAGGAGGATTGGCATCGGATGTTAGCTCAGGGCTGATCTTCCTCACACACACACACAAAAATTATACTCTGAAAATTACAAAATATTGTTGAGATAAATTAAAGAAGACCTAAATATATGGAAGAACAGCCCATGTTCATGGAGAGAAAACTTAATATTGTCAAGATGGTAATACTCCCCAAATCAATCTATAGATTTAAGGCATTGCCTATTAGAATCCTTGCTGCTTTCTAGAAATTGAAAGCTGAATTTAAAATTCATATGGAAGCAGGGGACACAGACTAGCCAAAACAATATTGAAAACAAAAAAAAAGAATAAAGTTGTAGGACTCACACTTCCCAATTGCAAAACTTACCACAAAGCTATAATAATCAAAGCAATGTGGTAGCGGCATAAGGATAGACATATAGATCAATGGAATAGAATTTATAGTCCAGAATAACCCTCATCTTTATGGTCAACTAATTTTGAGAAAGGTTCCAAGACCATTCGATGGAGAAAAATAGTCTTTTTAATAAATGGTGCTGGGACAACTGGATAGCCACATGCAAAAGAATGAAGTTGGACTCTTATCTAACACAATATACAAAAATAAACTTAAAATAGATCAAAGACCTAAACATAAGAGCTAAAACTATGTAACTCTTAGACAAAAACCAAGGGGTAAATCTTCCTGGCCTCAGATTTTGCAATGGATTCTTAGATGTGACACCAAAAGCACAGGCAATAAAAGACAAACACATAAATTGTACATCATCAAAATGTAAAATTTTGTGCTTCAAAGGATACTATCAAGGAAGGGAAAAGATAACCTCAAAATGGGAGAAACATTTTTCAAATCATATATCTGATAGGGACTTTCATCTAGAGTATGTACAGCACTCTTACAACTCAACAAAAAGAAAAACAACCCAGATACAAATGGACAAAGGCTTTAAGTAGACATCTATCTAAAGAAGTTGATAGAAGTATCATAAAAATGGCCGACAAACATATAGAAAGTTGTTCAACATCACTACCCATTAGGGAAATGCAAATCAAAACCACAATGAGATATCACTTCACACCCACTAGGATGGCCATAATCAAGATAGAAAAGTATTGACTAAGTGTTGGTGAGGATGTGGAGAAATTAGAACCGTCATACGTTACTGGTGGGAATGCAAAATGGTGTACCTATTGTGGAAAACAGTTTGGCAGTTTCTTAAGAGGTTCAACACAGAGTAACTATATAACCAGCAATTTCACCCCCCAAGTAGACACCCAAAAGAATAAAAAACGGGTATTCAAACAAAAACTTGCACATGAATGTTCATAGCAACAGTATTCACAATAGGCAAGAGGTGGAAACAACTTAAATCGCCATCAACTGATGAATGGATGAACAAAAGATGGTATGTCCATACAATGGAATATTAATCTACCATAAAAATGAATGAACTACTGATACATGCTACAACGTGGATGAAACTGGAAAACATTATGCTGGAGAAAGCCAGCCACAAGAGACCACAAATTGTACGATCCCATCTATATAAAGTGTCCAAGCTAGGTAAATCTACATTGACAGAAAGTAAATTAGCGATTGCCTAGCACTAAGGGGAGTGGGCGGTGGTAGTTAAAATGTACAGGGTTGCTGAGATGACAAAAATGTTCTAACAGTTGACTACAGTGATGGTTACACATATCTTTGAATGTAATAAAAATCTTTTTTTTCAGCCTAATTGAATTATAATTAACACACAGTACTATATGTCTAAGGTGTGCAGTATAATGACTTGACATATATAAATTGTGAAAACATTACCACAATAAGTTTCATTAACATCCATTACCTCATATAGTTACAAAAAAAAAAATTACCTTGTGGTGAGAACTTTTAGGATCAACTCTCTTAGCAAGTTACAATTGTACCATACAGCAGAGACAGCTATAGTCAACATGTCGTAAATTACATCCCCAGTCATTATTTATCTTATAACTGAAAGTTTGTACCTTTTGATCACCTTCCTCCAAATCCCCCATCTGCAGGGTCTGATGGGGACACTAATGCACCTCTACCCTCCAACCACAAATATGATCTACTGTCTCTATGTGTTTGCTGTTGTTTTTAGATTCCACATATAAGTGAGATCATACAGTATTTGTCTTTCTCTGTCTGACTTATTTCACTTAGCATAATGCCCTCAAGGTCCATCCATGTTGTCACAAGGGCAGAATTTCCTTCCTTTTTATGGCTGAACAATATTCTAGTGTGTGTGTGTATATATATATATCACATTTCTTTATCGATTCATCTGTGGATGGATACTTAGGTTGTAAAAACAATTGAATTGTACATTATAAATGGGTGAAATATATAGCATGTGAATTATATCTCAATAAAGCTGTTACAGATACACAGAAAGGAGAGAGGGAAGGAAAGATGAAAGAGAGAGAGAAAGAGAGAGAGAGAGAAGAAGAAGGAAGGAAGGAAGGAAAAGAAAAACAGTAGTCCACATACTTATTGAGAGAAAGAATGGATCGAGGAAATCAAATTTTAAGAGCTTCTTGGTATTTTCCACAAAGGGATCTTGTGGGTTGTTGAGGGAATCGACGTTCACTCCAAATGATGTGCTAGTAATCACATCCATGCTATAGGCCCCAAAGATGCTGAGTAGAGAAAAGAAGACATGGAAAATTAAAATTGGCACCTCTTTACTATTCTTATACAACACATGCAGCAAGAAGTGCATGTAAATTCATATGCCCAGGCAAGACAGATAAAGAGCCATACACCATCAAAATCTTCTGCTGGATCATCTAAAGAGTCAATACAACCATTACACTCACTGATGAGCTGTTTATCAGGTAACAATGACTAAGCTGTCCCTGTGCTACAGGTGATGGGGACACTAATGAAAGATAGGCCCACTTCTGAGCAGAAGGAGTACAGTCACAGATTGAAAGAGACTGATAATCAGGCAAATTATGGTACTATGTCTTGAGTATGGGCAATAGTAGATATATAACCACAGTGTTTGAGCAGGATGGAGGGTAGAATAATGAACTCTTCCTAAAGGAGTCAAGAAAGGTGACACTGACCTGGGTTTTGCCTCATCATAGTATCTATGCTGAGAGCTGATTCCTCTTTGGAATATTACAGAACAGCAGCACCCTGTTCTGAGTTGCCAGGAATGTCTTCTCTCCTTCTCTGCACCCCTGCTGGGGCTCCTGAAAGACCCACTCCTCCTCAATTCCAGTGAACTGAGGTTTCCCTGAGGGTAGACTCATTTCTACAAATGTAAGAACTAAGGGTGTTCCTAGTTAAAAAAAGAATGATAATATATCACACCAAAGTCAATTTAGGGTATGTCATAGCTAAGTGATCATGCATTCTCAGTTTTCCCAGGACAATGCTAGTTTACACCTGTTGTTCTTGCATAATTAAAAAATATCTCAGTTTAGACAATAGGTGATATGATCACCCTACCCACAGTCTGTACGGGGCCTTCTCTCTTTGAGACTGAAGGAAGGAGAAGTGGTGGTAAGATTTAACATTTAGTATTTTGCTGATATCTTCAGCTAAATCAGGAAGGGGTTTAAGTCGTTCTAAGTTCCACAGTGTAATTTTCCTGCCCCACCCACTGCCCACCAATATGTACCAAATGCCTTCCCCTCTCACCATTCCATACCCTCTATGAGTACCATCACTATACAATACACTCTTATTTTTGTCTTCCATAGTATCCAAGGTGACAATTAAGCACATAAATTAATTCTGGTTCATGTACACAGGAGAAGACCTGTTCTCCCCTGGCCGCCCTGCACTCCTTGGGTGGTCCAATGGAGTTGTACCACAAAACATCTACATCTGTTTGGTCACTAGAATAACTCAACAGCAGGAATTTTGGCTCTGTGGCAGGCAGCCGGAGGGTTTTGTGACAGAGCTCAGAAACCCAGCAGTGCACTCCTACTTACTCTTTCAAAGTGACAGGCCTGCCTTTCTCTGCTTCCTTTCTCAGGTTCCTCACCAACACATCTCCATATCGGCCAATGATGGGGAACATCTAGACACAAAATACACCACCACCCAAAGTTAAATGCAGAGACTTGAGGCCTACAAGCACCTGGCTTGTACAAGCACGGAGCAGTGAGCGACATTTTATAATGAATCTTATAATGTCTTTTCTAGGATATAAAGATAAAACACCACTTTGAGGAAGCTCAATTTCAGAAAAATACCACTTGGAAAAGGACTATGATGTTATCTTCTACCTGATCCCAGATGCATTCTTAAGTTTCTAATTAAAACTCTTCTTAATTTCTTACCTCCTTTAGCTTTCCACTGGTAAAGGTTGGAGACAGCAACATTCGTATTCTCTTCCATTGTTCATCCTCAGACATAGAGATGGCATTCTTCATAAATCCCATTGGACCAAGAGGCTAGACTCAAAAGCAAAAGACGTTTTGCCCTACATAAGTTTCAGAGCTCTCAACACTTGTGGAAAATTTATTAAATGGGCATCAATTCTTCAAAAATTATTTAGTGACTTTCCACTAAGTAGCCGACCCCATGCTAGATGCTCAATATTCACCCCCAATGTCTAGGTTTCTGTGAAGGTTTAGGAGACATCCAGATATCAGATGTAATTTCCAGCCTTTATATTCCAATCTCCTTTTTTTTTTTTTATTTTGTGAGGAAGATCAGCCCTGAGCTAACATCTGCCAATCCTCCTCTTTTTTTGCTGAGGAAGACTGGCCCTGGGCTAACATCCATGCCCATCTTCCTCCTCCAATCTCCTTTTAAGTGCAAATGATCCACATGGTGGGAAAACTGTTCTTCCAGGGAAATAGACAGGAATAAGACCTAGTACACCCTGCAAGGCTGCACAAGGTAGAAAGGGATTGGTGACAGATAGCCAGATAGCCTTGGAAAACTGTATTTGGCCTCAGAATAGTTCTGTCTTTAGATATATCTACAGCATGAGCAACTCAAAAGAAAAGGATGTCTTGAAACGGTGATTTTCGAAAAAAAGTAGTTAATATTTCAAGATTAGTAACTTATTTGCTATTCTGAAGAAATAGTACCATCACATGGAAATCCTTTCCGGTTACATTTTTTCTAAAAGGATAGAAAGGAAAAGAAAGAGATAATTCTATTTCTCAGCTTGGGACAGACCTACCATGCCAACATAAATGTGACTTTTTTTCATCTTCCAAAACTATATTTTGTCATAAAATGGATATCTCCAACACCCACTCATGATAAAAACTCAAAAGCTAGGAAGAGGGAGAAAATTCCTCAACTTCATAAACAGCATCTACAAAAAAACCTACAACTAACATTAAAGTTATGATGATAGCTGAATAGAAGACTCTAGTCTCTGTTGCCCCACAAAGAATAACAATTAAACAGCTATTGATGCATGAAAACAGGTAACAAGCTTCACCAACACAGAAGAGCAGAAAAATGAGAATAAGTACACTAAATGGGTAGGGAGCATAGTTTTATGATCTCTGCATCATCCCATCCCCCAGGCCAGCACTGCTCAGCACCAAGAGGGAACTCCCAGCCTGAGAGACTTCTACCTGCTGGGAATAGCACAGCAGGGCAAGTGACCAGTTTCCCTAGCATTTCAGGGCCCTGCACAAATGACCCACTTTGGTTTCACCCTAACCAGAGACTGGCATAGCTGACTTTACTTGAGACAGCTAGGAAGAAAGGAGAAGGGCAAGGACTAATAGTATCAGCCATGGGTGGGAGTGACCGTGGTTCTTTGTGGCCTGATCTGCAGAAGACCCCAGAAGCCTTTGCTACTGAGGAACCAACAGCCAGCGTGGACTCTGATGATGCCCTACAGATTTTCCTGCTGATAGCCTCACAGGTTTTACATTCATAGACTCCAGCTATCTGAGTCCTACTCTGCCCCACTCTACCCCAGACAGACTCTCTGATCCCCAGGACCCAAACCAGCAGTCAGAGCTAGACTCTATGCCTGGGCATGTTCATACCAACAGCTCAAGTCCCTGCAGCTGCTCAGGTGCCTGGAGCCAGCCCTAACTCCTGTCAGTGGACTGCACTGCTGCATGTGCCCACAGATAAATCTTGCAGCTGCACACCTGCACACTGCCAGCCTCAACTCCAGTCACCAGCCCCCACTGCAGTGCATGTGCTTGCACTCAGCCCCCAAAGCTGAGCGTGTGCATACTAACCACTCTGGCCACCACTTATACCTGCCTTGGTCCCTTGCCACTTGACCTGGAGGTGCTGCTAAAACCTCAACAGCCCTTGCAGCCACTGTGGACCATCCACAGCTCTTGCTGCCAAGGATCGTGCAGTTGGTGATGTTGTGAACCCCATCTGCCTGAGCCAAGCATGCCCCCCTGCATATAGAGCCACCACACACCCCCACACTTGGTACCCAGCACCGCTAGACTGAGGGCCACAGCACACTACAGTGTGCCCCAACCCACAAGCAAAGGTCTTTCCTTACTGAAGTTAGTTCATAAAGTCTCATAGAGGTGAATGCTTCTTCAAATGCACAGACACCACTGCAAGACTACAAGGATCACCAAGAATCAGGGAAACATGACAACACCAAAGAAAACAATAAACTTCCAGTAATAGACTTCAAAGAAATGGAGATCCACGAATTGCCCGACAAAGAATTTGAAACAAATCTTCTAAAGAAGCACAGAGAGCTACATCAGAACACACATAAACAATTTAACAAAGTCAGAAAAAAGTTACAAAAAGAAAAGAGAAATTCAACAAAGAGATATAAAACATAAAAAAGAACCAAAAAGAAATTTTAAAGCTGAAGAATACAAAGAATGATCTAAAGAATGCAATGAGAGCTACAAGAGAACCCTCATGAAGCTATTAGTGGATTTCTCAGGGGAAACCTTGAAGCCCAGGAAGGTTGAAATTATCTATTCAGAGTGCTGAAAGAAAAAACTACCAACCGAGAATACTTTACCTGAAAGGTGATCCTTCAGAAATAAGGCAGACATAAAGACATTTCCAGACAAACAAAAGCAGAAAAAGTTCATCACCACTAGACCTTCCTTACAAGAAATGCTAAAAGCAGTTCTTCAAGCTGAAAAGAAAGGACACTAACTAATAACATGAAATCTTATGAAAGTATAAAACTCACTCATAAATATGACTATATAGTCAAATTCAGAATACAGTAATATTGTAATGATGGTGTGCAAATCACTTACAATTCTAGTTTAAAGGTTAAAAGACAAAAGAATTGAAGATAACTATAGCTAAAGTAATTTGTAACTAGATACATGATATAAAAAGATGTAATTGTGACATCAAAAGCATAAAATGGCAGGGGAGTAAAAGCATTCAGTTTTTGAGTGAAAACAAAGTTAAATTGTTGTCAGCTTAAAATAGACTGTCATACCTACAAGGTTTTTTATTGGAGCCTCATGGTAACCACAAAGCCAAAACCTATAGTAGATACAGGAAAGACACAGAGAAAGGAATCACAGCACACTGCTATAGAAATGCATCAAATCACAAAGGAAGACAGGAAGAAGAGAGAAAGAAGGAGCAAAGGATCTATGAAACAACCAGAATAACAAAATGGTAATAGTAAGTCCTTTCTATCAATAATTACTTTCAATGTAATGGACAGATGAATGGATAAAGAAAATATGGTGTATATATACAAAATTGAATATTATTCAGCCTGCAAAAAGAAAGAAACTCTTCCATTTGTGACAAAATGGAGTCACTTGGAGGACAATATGCTAAGAAAATTAAGTCAGAGAAGGAGAACTGTCACATGATGTCACTCATATGTGGAGTCTAAAAAAGAAAAGTCAAACTGATAGCCACAGAGAGTAGAACAGTGGTTATCAGAATCTAGAGAGAGGGGAAAGGGAGATATTGATTAAGGGTACAAACTTCAAGTTTTAAGATGAACAAGCTCTGGAGACCTAATCTACCGCACAGTGACTACAGTGAATAATACTGTATTGTATATTTGAAATTGCTAAGAGATTAGATCTTCAATGTTCTTACCACACACACAAGAAAAGGTAAGTATAGGAGGTGATGAATATGTTAATTCATTTGTGATAATCATTTCACAAAATGTATTCATATATCAAAACATCACATCATACACCTTAAATATATACATTTTTATTTGTCCAAAATAAATAAATAAAAATTTAAAGATGGTGAAATACTAAATGCTTCCCCCTAAGATCAAAAACAAGGCAAAAATGTTACTCTTATCATTCTTATTCAGCATCATACTGGAAGTCCTAGCTAGTGCTGTATGACAAGAAAAATAAGTAAAAGGCATACAAACTGAAAAGGAAAAAAACAGAAGTGTTCCAATTTTCAAGTGATGTACTTGCCAATGTAGAAAATCTCAGGGAACATAAAAAGTAAAAACCTCTAGAACTAATAAATGAGCTCAGCAATGTTGTAGGATACAAGATCAACACACAAAAATCAACCACATTTCTATATAATAACGATGAACAAGTGAAAACACATTAAAGACACAATACCATTTACAATCACTTCGAAGGAAATGAAATACTTTAGGGTAAATTTAACAAAACATATATAGGATCTCTATGCTGAGAACTACAAAATGTTGGTGAAAGGAATCAAAGAAAACCTAAATAAATGGATAGACATACTGTTTGTGTCTTGACCTAGTAAAGATATAGATTTTTCCCAAATTGATTTACAGATATTATGAAAATAGCAATTTTTATTCTAAATTTGTATGTAAAGACAGAAGACCTAAATAGCTAAAACAATCCAAAAAAGAAAGTGGGAGGGATCACTCTACGAGATGGTAAGACTTACTCTATAGACACAATAATCAAGATTGAGTGGTGCTGGTGGAGGGATAGATACATAGCTCTATGAAAAGAATAGAGAATGAGAATTAGACCTACACAAATAGACCCAACTGATTTTTTCTTCTTTTTTTTAATGCAGAAGATTGGCCCTGAGCTAACACCCATTGCCAACGTTCCTCTTTTTCGCTTGAGGTAGATTCTCCCTAAGATAACATCTGTGCCAATCTTCCTCTATTTTGTATGTGGGATGCCTCCACAGCATGGCTTGATGAGCATTGTATATGTCTACACTGGGGATGCAAATCCACAAACCCCAAGCCACTGAAGTAGAGTGTGTGAACCCAACCACTCTGCCACTAGCCAGCCCTAGGCAAAACTGATTTTTGACAATGATGCAAAAGCTATTCAGCTGAGGAAAGATTGCTTTTCCACAAATGGTACTGGAGCAATTAGACATCCAAAGGCCAAAAAAAAAAAAAAAACCTTGACCTAAACCTCACACCTCAGACAAAACCTTATACAAAAATTAACACAAAATGGATCATGGACTTAAATGTAAAACCTAAAACTATATATTGTTTAGAAAAAAATAGGAGAAA